CTACTATTACTACTATTAGTACTACTACGACTACGACGACTACTACTACTACTACTACTACTACTAATATTACTACTACCACTACTACTACTACTACTACTACTACTACTACAACTACTACTACTACTACTACTACTACTACAACTACTACTACTACTACCAATACTACTACTACTACTACTACTACTACTACTACTACTACTACGACTACTACTACTACTACTACTACTACTACTACTACTACTACGACTACTACTACTACTACTACTACTACTACTACTACTACTACTACTACTACTAGTACTACTAGTACTACGAATATTAAGATAATAATAATACGGCGACTCCCACCACTTCATTTACGCTTGCGGCGTCTATTTAAACGAGTGCTAGCTAGCACTGCTTCGATTTCCGCTACTACCACCTCCGCCACAGATGTTTCCACCCATTCTGGCCCTGACATGGTTGTGATGGTGGATGGATGGCCGTGGGTAATGGTTGAGGTGGTAGTGATGTCTGTTTTCCCAGAATTCGAAGATTATGCATGTGTGGTCTCTTTCAGACGCTTGTGCAGTCACATCGGTTTCCCTTTCCATCCCGATGAGAATCTGGATCTGGGGCCTGCCCATTCCCATCGAATCCGTGAGTGGGTTCGAATTCTAATCCCATTGGGATGTTCTGAATATTTGTGTTGCGCCATTCCCATTTTTGATGGGCCCCCATTGAAATAGAGTTGAAATGACCTGGCCCAGAGGTCTGCTCCATTCCGAATGACTTGCTTTGAATGGTTGAATGGTGGCCCCGATGTCCAAATGTCCAAGGCCCCAAGAGAATAAAAAGAGATCCTGGCGAACGACCGAGCCATACGCAATTTTGAATACCGCGTTGTGGGTACCAACCGCTTTCGGTGCAGATCCCTTTGGGGCGACGAAAACTGTGAGGTGCGTGCCGAAATGGGCGCGTTGGTGCCATGCGGGCGTTGCCTTGGGGCCTACGGTCGAGCTCCCGATGGGGCCGCGAAGCGCGCGGGGGCTATGCCGAAACGGGCGCGACCTCGATGCGCCCGCGGGCGGCCACAAAATCGGATGAGCCGGTAAACCGTGGACGCCCATCCAGAAGGAATGCTCATCCAGCCCATCCAGACACAATGCCGAGTCGAATTGTTTTGATCAGTCATGTGGGGGAGCACGCAGTGGAATAAAGGCTGGGAAGCCGTCATACCCCAAGAGGGGGAGGATGGAGGAGGAACCACAGGAGGAGGAGGAGGAGGAGGAGGAGGAGGAGGGAAGAGGGGGAAGAGGGAGGAGGGAGGAGGAGGATTACGCGGATGAGGAATAAGGAGGAGGAAGAGGTGGAGGAGAAGGAGGAGGAGGAGGGCGAACAGGAAGGCCAGAGGCCTCTTGGATGTTTCTCGGGGTCTCTCCGGATATGTCTCTCGAGAGCTTATTGTAGGCCTGTTGGGGCGTCTTGGGGGCCTCTCCGCGGCCCCGCGGGCCTTTGGAAGCGTCTTGGGTGCCTCGGGGGGCCTCTTGGAGGTCTCTTGGGAGCCTCTTGGGGGCATTTTGGGAGGCATCTCGGGACCCTCTGGGGGCCTCCTGGGCGCCCCTTGGGACCCTCTTGGGGCACTCTCGGGAGCCGCGGGGACCATCTTGGAGGAGCTCGACAAAGGAAGGGGGGTACGTGCTTAACGCCTCCCCCCCGGAGGCCAAAATGGGCCCAAAACCTTTTTGTTTGTAAAATCAATGATGTTGACCCTCTCGCCGAGGCCATCTTGGACACTCCAACCCCTCGCCGCCCCCCCCCCCTCATCTTGGAAGCTCCAAACCCTCGCCGCCATTCCCCTCCGGGTCCAGGGGGAGGGGGTCAGGGGGAGGGGTGAACCGTTCCTCGAAGGGGAAGAAGGGGGTCGGAAGAGGCAACTCACTAGACCACTCACGCCCTACAGGGCTGGTGGGATCATGTGCGAAACAAATGTTTGCCAGCGTGGACCCCAAACAGTGAGTTAGTGCACTATGGATGTTGTAAGCTATGTGGTCTCAGCGATATGGTGCAAGCCATGTGGTGCAAGCTACTTGGTGCAAGCTATGTGGTGCAAGCTATGCGGTGAAAGCTATGTAATATAAGTAATGTGGTGTTGGCTATGTGTTGTAAGCTGGGCGGTGACGAGGCCCCTCCTAGGCGAAAACCCAACAGCCAGCCACCACGCACGCGTCGCCCACTGGCGCCCACTAAGCGAAAAGCCACCAACAAGCCACCACGCACGGGATGGGTCACAGGCCGAAACCCCAACAACCAGGTCCAATGATTCAGAAGACAAGTAAGAAGTACAAGCACTGTTGGGGGAAACCACAAGTGCAAGCAGCGCTTGCGGAAACAACTCGAACCTCGACCCCCGGACTTCTCGACACACTCCCCAGGGCCAGCTTTTCGTCCTGAGTCGTTTTCGTTGATGGCTCCGAGGCCCGATATCAGCCTCCAGAAACCAAAAGCGACGACAAACAGGCCGTCTCGATTTTCTATGCATTGGATGTGTGGGCCCCTCTTTCTCCTCCCCACTCGCACCCCTCACGCTGGACAAGAAAGTGAGGAGGGCGGAGGGGGAGGAGAGTGAGGAGAAGGATGAGGATGAGGATGGGGAGGAGGAGGAGGAGGAGGAGGAGGAGGAGGAGAAGGAGGAGGAGGAGGAGGAGGAGGAGGAGGAGGAGGGGAGGAGCAGGAGGAGGAGGAGGAGGAGGAGGATGAGGAGGAGGAGGAGGAGGAGGAGGAGGAGGAGGAGGAGGGCGAGGAGGCGGAGGCAAGAGTAGGAGGGGGGGGACTCCTCCTTCTCCGTCCTCCCCCTCCTCTGTCCCCGCATCCTTTGTCCCCGTCCCCTCGCTCGTCAGGACGATCCGCTTCATCGTGCAGGCCCTGCAGAGGCCGCTGGCCGGTCTGGAAGCCGAAGAGTCGGGGCGGGGTCGGGGTCGTTTCTCTTCTTCTGAATGTTTACGTTTTGGGGGAGTCTTTGAGTTTTGGGAAGTCTTTGAGTTTTTTGGGAAGTCTTTGAGTTCTTGAGTTTCCACAGCTCGATAGTCTACGTTCTTGGGAAGTCTTTGAGCCTCCCTGGGGCCTCCTGGGGCGCCCTCGTCGCCCCGGCTGGAGCCGCCCCGGAGTTGCGGCCAGGACGCGCCCTGGCGGGGGTCCAGGGGGTCGATGTGTGACTGTCAAGAGGGGAAAAAAACCCACAGACACAATTAATCGTCGATTCCCAAGAAAATATGGGCAAAATATGGGAAGTGGGGGCGAAGACGAGAATCCAAAAAATATGAGAAAATATGGGGGACCTTGTTATTTGTGTGTATCTATTTGTGTGACCCTGGGCTTCTTTAGACTGTTCCATCCAGGCCTGCGACGTCCTCAGACAATCGGGACGGAGGTTTGTGGCAAGTTTCGGCTTCGTTGGGCCGTTTGTGCAGGGCGAAGAAGGGAGCCCCGGGGAGGGGTCAAGGGAACCGAGGACCCCGTATGGAAGCCACCTGGCTGTCGCAGCGTAGAAAAGCAGCGAGGGCGAGTATTGGAGAGGGGCTGGAGGAGACGGGAGAGGAGGCGACGAAGGGGAGGGAGGGGTGTCGAAAGAGGTGGAGAGGGAGGGCGAGGGTTGGAGGAGGGGGAGGAGGGGAAGGGAGAGGACGGAGGTGGAGAGACGAGGGGGAGGAAGAGGCAAGGCAGGCGAAGGAATGGGGATGTGCACCAGAGTAAAGAACGCAACGGGACCAAGACGAGGACGGAGAGAGGGAGGGGGCAGGCTAGTTGCGCGCGCGCAGTATAGATATAAATGTGTGTATGTATGTGTATATATATATATATATATATCAGCTTATATCCCTTCCCGTTGCGCTGTTTTTTGTATTCGCCCAACGGGTGTCCCACATGGATCCCAAAAGTGACCCCGTCGTGTGAGGCGCAATCCACCGTAGCTCTGGCTCAGGCCATCTTTGGGACCCCCGGTCTCGAGGAGGCGCCCCGACGCAGCGCCGCGCCCAGCGAGGGTCCGCGGCCCGGAGCCCGGCACCGCCACAGCCTTGGGCCGCCCCCTGGCCGCCCCGATGGCCAGCTGGCGCGGATACTCGAACAGTGACGTCATCTGGCGCGACGACTGCCGTAGGGCCTTCGGCACCGACGCAGGCACACCCCACGAGCGACACGCCCCAAGCGGACCCGTTGCTTCCCCAGACGGGCCCACATTGCCCCAGCGCCCTCGGCACCACAATTCCCTGACACCGCATCGACGAGGACAGTTTCGGCGGGCAAGCAAGGCAGAGAGAGCACGCAGCAAAGCGCGACGGATGCCCCCTGGCAGAACCCGCCCTGACCTGGGAGGCGGGACAGCCTCCCTCCAGCATGTTCGCCTTCCGCTCCGACCCGCCTCGGCATGGTACCAACGTTTCCACTGGGGACCTGGCGCGCGGGCCCCCGTGCTTCGCAGACGGGGGCAAAGCTTCCAGGGCGAGGGCCTGGAACGCCAAGTGGTTTTCCGCCAGGTGCCTCGTGGGCATCTGGGACGCGCGGCCATCTGCCGGTCGTTCCACCCTGGCGCGGGATGGGGTCCTCGCGCACCCGCCCAACCGCGCCGCGCGGCCCAAGGTCGGCCCAGCAGCACGCCTCGGAACGAACCCGCTGGTAGCCGCGTCAGCGCCCACCACCACCAGCATCCACGACTTGGGGAAAGAGCTCAAAAGGGCGCAGCAGGCCGCCACCCTGGAGGACGACCCCAGCCATGACCCACTGCAGATGTGGGGGAAACCACCGCCGAGCACCTGGCCGCAGCCAACCTGGTGAGCAATGACGCCAAGAAGAAACGGTCAACTGCTCAGACCCACCGTGGAACACGGGCCAAGGCCACGCTGGATGCAGCCTGGCGGGATCGCCGTCGAGCAGCTCCCGCCACGAGGCCTGGGGCCGACCGACCCTAAGGTCCGCGGCGAGCGATGGCAGTCAGCAGAGCAGGGGCGGAGACCAGCGACGGTTCCTCGCAGGGCGCCAGGGGCCCACCAACGAAGCCCAGCCTCCACGCGGGAGGTCCGCAGGTGAGCGCCGAGGGAGACGCGAAGGTGGAGCGTCCAGAACGCCCCAGACGAGAGCCAAGACGGGCCCCAGCGGGAGGCGGCGGCGCCGCCCCCAGGACAGGAGGAGGAGAGGCAACAGCTCAGGAAGCCCCCCCGCGGCGCACAGGAAGCGCCCCCCTGGCATCGAGCTCGGCAGGCGCTTAGGGGCAGACGACCATGCCAGCCAGGCCAGGGGCGCCCCAGCCCGGGGCCCAGGGCCGCACCGCCGATGGGAGGCAGGAACGTCGAGGGCCGATTTCGGGGCAGCGGCCCACCAGTCCAATCGGGCTACTGCGCCCCGCCGACCCCCGCTCAGCTCCAGCCACCTCGTCAGGTTGGCAAAGCCCGGACTGGTCAGCCTGGTCAATTACGTCAGGGCCAGCTACGGCCCTGGCATCAACCTACACTGGGTTGGCTTCTGCTCCAGGCCCCTGCTGGACAAGGCAGATAACGCCGCACCCGCAGCTGACGGAGAAGACCGCCTCAGGCATTTCCTCAGGCACTCGCGGGAGGAAGGGCGCGTCAGAGCCGCGGGCAGCCTGGACCTGGACGCACGGACTCGGGAGGGGGCGTGCCGGCAGTTCCGCTATGCGCACCAGGTGCAGTGGGCCAGCCGCCAGTCAGACGACAGCCGCACAGCCTGGAACGACTTCAGCCCGGCCCCCCCCCCAGTGGCGTCGCCAAGGTGACTGCGTGGCTGGACGAGGACGACCCGGCAGCATTTCTGCAGATCTGGGGGCCCAAGGCGCCGCGCGGACGACCCCCACGCGGCAGCCAGGCACCTCCTGGCCAGCGCATTACACACCCAGCATCCAGCACGAGGAGCGCGCCCAGTCCCTGGCGAGGCCCGACAGCCTGGCAGCGGCGCAGGCTGACCCGGCGCCGCTGCCGCCCTCCGCCTTCCCCAGCCCGAAGCGCAGCAAGGCTACCGAGCTGGAAGCCACGGGCATCATCCGCGCACCCATGAGACAGAACAGGCTCGACCAAGACATTGCCAACATCATGCCGGAGTTCGCCCGCATGCTCCACTTCATGATCGATGACGAGGTGTCGTGGGACTTTCTCGGCATAAGGCGGGACGCGGAGCCTGGGAAGCACGGGCAAAGGACGGAGGGCGCCCAGTGTTGGGCGCGAGCGCAATGCCCGACCTTCCTCGAACAGGCATACAGCAGCGACATACAATCCATTGGGATGCCCGACAAGTACCCTTGGGATGGTAGGCGCGCCGCGCTCGCAGACATCATCGCCTAGGGAGCGTCGGGCAAGGGCAGGCCCGACGCAGTCGGCAACCAGTTCAAGCAGGCCTGGGTGAGTTCCTAGGAACCAGGACCACAAGCAGGGGCACTGACCCCCTGCGCTACGACACCGACACATTGGCGGCCCTCCTGGACAACCAGGGCACCCGACGCGCCGACGCAGCGCAGCTGGAAGGATACTGCAGTCGCGCACTGGCCAGGGATCGCCACGCGCATGCGCCGGAGCAGACAGGCGCCGCCCCGGTCGCGCAGGAACCAGAGCAGCGGGACAAGGATGCAGCGGAGCTCCGCCGACCAGGCGCGCCACCAAGGGACGCGCGGGCCAGCCAGCCAGGGGCGCCAGCAGGGCAGCAGGCCCATGAGCCCCAGGGCAGGCCCGCCGCGAGGCATCTGCGGACCGAGCCCGCGCCGGCCGCCCGCAAAGGCGTCGATGACAGGCCCAGGCCCCGAGGACAGCGGGCACAGGAGCCCAGGCGCCAGCCGCAGCCCGAGCCTCCCCCCAGACGGGGATCCCCAGCCCAGCGCCCCACCAGCCCCCCCACCCAGCGATCGCCCGGGCAGCTCGGAAGCAGAACCCGGGAGAGGCCGGGCCGCTGGAGGCGGAACGCCGGCGGGCCTCCGCCCCGCAAGGAGGCCCCGAGTCTCTGGAATCCACCAGGGCCGTCCTTGCCCTGGTAATCCCAAGGGGCTAGGTATTTACTGGGGGCGCTGCGAGCGACACGCGCGCTGCATGCCGGCACGCGCGAGCTGATCCGCAGGGCGACCGCCTCCTCCTGGGCGGAGCCAAAGGGGTGGCTCCGGGGCCAGTCGAGGAGGTGCATCCAGGAACCCACGTCACCGCCCGCATTGGCGGCTCATAGCTAACCGTGCACACTGGGAACAGTGAGCTGCACTTCGCCTGGTCCTTGATAAGAGACCAACCCGCCGGGGGCACCAGAGGCGAAACAAGCAATCCCGACCGGGAGACTGCACAGGCGGCTGACAGCACGGCCAGGACCCCAGTCACAGACGTGCCGTACGAGGTAGAGACGCCCTGGAGACCTACCCTGCAGGGGTGAGAGAAGGCTAGTTGGTCCAGCAGCCGGGCGCACTGGAACCAAGGACGCGACCGCCACTTGGACCGTACCACCTGGACAGAGGGTGACGCCAGGGGTGGCACCAGCTGGAAAACAGGACTGAGATGCGGGCGGAGGTGGTCAACCGTCTCAAGGGGGCGCGCGGCGCGCTCTTCGTGGAAGGATGGAACAGGGCCTGCGATTGGAAGGACGGGAAAGGCCATGGCAGGGGAACCTGCAACTCCCGTCGGCTACGACGCGACGCCTTCAGCCAGGCTTTCCTGGAGGAGCTGGCCACCATGGACCACGACATCAGCGTTTCTGCTACAACCGGCGCCTCGAAGTGGATCGGGACATTGTCTGGCGACAGCAGCAGAACATTCGCGCGCAGGCGTCCGGCAAGTGGCAGGGAGGCAAGAGGCACAGTGAGCCCATTTGGCCCGCGGGAGATCAACCCCGTCTGCGTGGCCTGTGAAGCACGGAGGCCCACAATCGGCCGCTGGGGCCTGCAGCACAGTGCGAGCACAGCCCCCACCAGCAAGCGCACCAGTTAGGTGCGTCCGTTGGCCTGGATGCGCCAGACCCGCGGGGCCCTCCAACCCAGGGAGCCCCGCTCTGGCGGTGCGCGTACCCCAGCCAGAGGTGGCTGTTCCACCTGCCTGGACTCTGCGCGGACCGCTCGCCACCTGGTCGCGCGCGATTGCGGGGAGCCCTCCAACCCAGGAGGCCGCCGCAACTCTGCGTCCACCAGCACGCGCTCCAGTTAGGTGCATCCGTTTACCCGGTTGGGCCAGATTCGCGGGACCTTCTAACCCCGGAGGCCCCGCATTAGCAAGCGCCCACCCTGGATGGCTGCAATACTCCGCCTGCCTAGGCCCCTGCGCGGCCTGCTCGCCACCGCTGCATTCGAGCGGGCCTATTCTTTCAGCGGTCGTGTCTCAGAAGGAGTCGGAGGAGCGGGAGGAGCAGGAGGACCAGGGGAAGATGCAGCAGGGAAAAAGGGGGGGCGACAACGGTGAGGAATCGGATCCAGAAGCGTGGCCCGCGCTGAGGCGAGAGCGCCAGTCTGAACGAGGCGAGCCAGGTGCCGATCCTGAGATGAGACCAACGCTGCAGCGTGTGCACGACTGTACAACAGATTGTCAACAACGCGCTGTATAAGACAACTCGTGTCTGACATACTGTATGTGATACGTACGCGGGAGAGGCGGACCCCCCCAAAGCACAAGTGGGTGGTTTTCGTGTTGAGTAGGTGTCGAGGGGGATAAGGAGGAGGACTGGGGGGTGAAGTGGTGGGGGCGAGAGAGAGGGGGGAGAGGGGCAGGGGAACGGCAGGACGAGCACGAAGCGGAGGGGAAGGCGGGGAGGGCAGGAAAGGGACGGGGACCAAGACGATGGCTGAGAGGTGCGGGAGGGAGGCAAAAGTGGATTGGGGATGGGCGAGAGGGAGATGAAAGGGCAGGGGGACTGGTGGAGAGTACTGGGCAGGGGGATGGAAGTAGTCAGCCCAAGGTGGTCGGAGACGTCTCAGTGCTGGTGCCCCATTCCAGCGCAGGCCGCCTTATGGCCTACTGCGAATGGGGATGAGATACGAGATAAGAGATAGGAGGGGAGGGGGAGGGGCAGAAGGAGGAGTGAGCAGCAGAGAGAACGAGGGAGTAGAACGACGACGAGGAGGAGGAGGAGGAGGAGGAGGAGGAGGAGGAGGAGGAGGAGGAGGAGGAGGAGGAGGGCTCCCAGCCGGTCGAAAAGGGGAATGTTCCACGAGTTGCCCTCGCTGTGGGCCACGTGGACGCAGCAGGTGGCGGAGCTCTCGCTGCAGGACGCCAACGAGTGGTTCTCCGTCCAGACCCCAGAAGGCCCCGATCCGTCGACGGGGGCTCGAAGGTGCAGGCCGTTCCATGGAAGGGCCCCGCCGCCGAGGAGGCGAGAGGTTGGAATCTCGCCATCGGCACAGGGTGGTGGAGGGCAGTATCGGCGCACCCAGGGTTGACCCAAGGCGCCCAGGTCGCCAGACTGTCAATCGAGCCCGGTCGGGGTGGTCGATCTCGTTCTCGATCGACGGAGATTTGTAGTGTGCTATGGTGTGAATCAGGCTGGCTGGATTGGGACCGGGCGACGGGCTTGGATCGGGAAGAGGCGGCCGAAGGCCCTCATGGACTCCATAGACGTGGAGGCGGAGCCCGTGCGAGTGAGTCTTTTCAACTCGCAGGTGGCGGAGGCATGGGACAAGGCGGAACGATTCTACGGAGACCTGCTCCAGGATCTGCTCTCCCCCCCTAAAAGAAAGTGTCCAAGTAGGAGAGAGAGAGAGAGAGAGAGAGGGAGAGAGAGAGAGAGGTAAAGAAAAATAGAGAGAGTGAGAGAGGGGGATGGAAAGAGAGAGAGAGAAAGGGAGAGAGTGAGAGAGAGAGAGAGAAGTGGCCAGACAGGGGGCACCCGTGAACACGCGCACGCGCCTGCCTTTGACCGAAGGCAAGTTTGCCTCATCTTCATCCGCCTCCGATGGAAAGGATCTCCGTTCTGTGTGCAGATCGTGAGCCGTTCTTATGGTGAGTTTAGCCGACCGCGTCACCCCACGACGTATCCACCTGCCAGTCTGGCTGTGCCTTGCGGTGTCGATACGTTGCTTGCAAGTCTGGCCAGGGATGTGCCTCCAGAGCGCGTCCTATACCTACTCCGCGCTACGGGGCATTCACCTGGAGGTAGAGGGGACGTCACCCGCGCCGACAGCCCAAAACCGACCCCCGTCGCTAGCAAACACCACGTGGCCAAAAGAGAACCAAAAATCCAAAGGTGGCCCCTGCATGCCGAAGCTGACCTTCGGCGAGGGGGAGGTACCCCCCGGCGACTGCTCACGGGCACAGGGGCCTCGAGCTATGCACGGGTGGGCGCCGCATGGAGAAGGAGGAGGAGGAAGAAGAGGAGGAGGCCGAGAGGAGGAGGAGGTGGTGGAGGAGGAGGTGGTGGAGGAGGAGAGGAGAGGCGGCAGGGGACGTTCGGGCGGCAAGGAGTATATCCCCAGGGGGCTGTTGGGTGCGCTGGTCCGCGCGCGGCGGCCACGCGAGCGACCGCATGCGCTGCAGGACTTCTTCGTCCAGCCCGACAAGTCCGAGCTGCACAGGCGCGTGGCCCCCCGGTTCGAGGCGAAGAGGGAGGCCTACCACAGACGAGTCGAGGCGTGGACCATGGACAAGGTGCAGGCCGCCAAGGACAGCCTCGTGGCGCTGCTGAATTCCAGGGAGCCGCCGGAAACTCCCATCCCCGTTTCTCCCCCACTTTCCTTATCCCCATGCCCGAAACCCGTTCCCGTGCATTGGAGAGACCATGCCGGGTCGAAGGAGATGCCGGAGAACCCTGACACTTTGGAGAAGCGGTCCCAGGTCGAGATCGAGGCCCGTTTCTCTTCCTTCTCTTCCTCCTCCTCCTCCTCCACCTCCTCCTCCACCTCTTCCTCCTCATCCTCATCATCATCCTCATCTTCATCTTCATCCTCCTCCACCTCCTACTACTCCTCCACCTACTCCGCCTCCCTCCGCCTCCCTCCTCCTCCACCTCCTCCTTCTCCTCCTCCTCTTCCTCCTCCCCTCCTCCTCCTCCTCCTCCTCCTCCTCCCTCCCTCCTCCTCCTCCTCCTCCTCCTTCTCCTTCTCCTCCTCCTCTCCTCCTCCTCCTCCTCCTCCTCCTCCTCTCCTCCTCCTCCTCCTCCTCCTCCTCCATCTCCTCCTCCTCCTCCTTCCTCCCCTATTCCTCCCCTCATCATCACCATCATCATCATCATCATCATCATCATCATCATCATCATCATCATCATCATCATCGGAGGCAGTCAGTACAGTCATAGAAGCGCTCGCTGGCCAGCGGATGGGCCCAGACAGCGCGGCCGTCACATCATTGCACACCTTCCTCGGAGGCTTGGGCGTGCGGCCCATAGATCTGCCGCACGCGCAGGCGGCCTTCTGGGCGTGCCACGCCGCAGTCGAGGCTGACGTCCTCACGGTCTCGGCGGGCCTGGGTCGTCCTGTCACTGCCCACCCAGATGCGTCTGCAGCGAGCCGCGCGCGGGACGACCTGGAGTCCGCGGGCATCTCCACGCAGCTGGGCCGCGTCACCTCCACAGAGAGCGCCCGGCTCGAGTACGAGGCGGGCCCGTGGGCCGCTGAGCTTGCAACCGAATCGGTTTTCGATTTTTACGCGGAGGCGGGCGACGTGCCTGGCATCTCTGTCTCGCTGCTGGCCGCCAGCCAGGACCCAGAGGTTGAGGGACACGCCGGGGGCGCTCGGCGGCGGCTGGCGGTGCTGGACTACCAGGGGCTGGCTGCCGTCGCGGCGACGCGGCGGGCTGGGCGCTGGCGCTTTCTGGAACGGCTTCCTGCGAGAGGGTGACGCGGTGCTCCTCGATTCCGCCTTCGTCGTCATGCTCCGCCGCCGGCTGCTGCTTGACCTGCTGGGAGCCCCGTCCACGTGCGCATTCGAGTACTCCCAGAATGCGGCAGCAGGCGAGGAGTTGCGCCAAGGCGCGTGTGGCCGCCCCTTGGATGTGGCGGGCTACCACGCGTTGTGCTGCCTGGTCGGGCCACATCGCATCCGGCTGCACAACGAGATCGTGCGGGCCCTCGCCGAGTGGACCTCGGCGCACAGAGGGTACGTCGACGTCGAGCGTTGCGTTCCGGAGCTCTACCGCACACAGGACGACGGGACCATCGAGGAGGCGCGGTTGGACCTGGCTTGGCGCCCTGGCCCCGGCGTGGGTCGACGTCACGGTCCGCTCGGCCAGGGAGGGGCCGGCGGAACGGTCGATCGGCCACGCCGCGGCCGACGCCGAGCGAGACCGCCACGGCGCCGCGGTCGTGTACCTCTCGCCGTGGAGGTCGAAGGGCGCTGGGGCACGGTGGCGCAGCAGTTCGTCGCGGAGGCCGCGGCCGTTGCGCGCCGCGTGGCGACGCCTGCCCGGCGAGCCAGGCAGCCGGCAGGGCACCGATTACGCGAGGCAGCTCGCCGCGCGTTGTGTCGAAGGCGCTGGTGGCGCGGCTGGTGGACCTGCTGCTGGCGGCGTCGCAGGGCGTCGGGCCGGGCCGCTGGCTGGGCGTGCGGGCGTAGCGTGGCATG